GGACGCCGTGGAGCTGGACTTTTCCACGGAGCAGCCGGTGCACCAGGTGAGCCCCGCGTTCCTGTCCTTCACCATCGACGCCAACCTGGCCACGGACCCGCGGTTCCTCACCTTCCTGGGGTAAGCGCCGGGCCCGGCCCCTGTGCCCCTGTGCCCGCTCCTGGCTCCTGACATCCACGCCCGCCCTGCCACCGCTCTCCTCCCCTCCGCTCTTTTGTCTCTTCTGACAAGAGACAAAATCTCTCTCTCTGTCTCTCTCTCTCTCTCTCTCTCTCTCTCTCTCTCTCCCTCTCCCTCTCCCTCCAAACCACTCATTCCTCCCTACTTTATTCATTCAGCAGATGTTGACTGAGCGCCAACTTAGGGCCAGGTATTAACAGGAAATTTAGGGAAGAAACTTCCCAACTGCCCGGCAACGCGCTGGGAAGAGGGGCGGGCGAGAGCCGCCGGAGCTGTGAGCCTGGGTCTGCTGCACAGTGCAGGGCAAGTGCCCCTGGGGCAGGCAGGCTCCGGGCTCCGGGAGGGGTTAAAAAAATAGATGGAAAATATCTCAAAGCTTACTTACTCCATAGGTACACTTTAAAATTATATCCCTAAAACATGGATATTGTAAATACACCTTTAAAGAGCAGTTTTAGGTTCACAGCTAAATTAGGCACAGAGATTTCCCATATTACACTTTTTTTAAAGTCTAAATATTAAATAAATGAGACCAGGGAGACGATCGCAGTGCCTTACAGAGCCTTAATAAAAAGACACCTCTCCAAGTTGCGGCTCAAAATGTGGCACTGCTTTGTGGGCTGTAATTTTTTCTCATGGGGGAGAGACCAGACCTGATGCAGGTCCCTAGCCCCTGCCACACGCGTGCAGGCTGATCCCAAGATGGAGAGCTGCAGGGACCACAGGTCATCGAGGCCACTCATCTAGGTCATGAGAACCTCCAGAGGCGGCCACACCTCAACCAACCCAGACAGCTAGGTGTCGTTGGCCGTTGCCAATCACCTACATGCTGCACTTCCTGTGCTCACACTGTCAGCTGCCATTGCTAAGTTCAGTCATTTGTTCTGCAAATAAAGGCAGGTAGCCGACTGGGTTAGAGATTGGCAGTCAGACCAGCCCTGGCTGGATTCCCAACTCTGCCAAAGCAGGGTGGCTTAGTTCTTAATGGGTTGTTTGGCGACTCCGAGCCTCCATTT